CCAGCTATTCGGGAGGCTGAGGCAGGAGAATTGCTTGAATCGGGAGGTGAAGGTTGCAGTGAGCTGAGATCCTGCCACTGCACTTCAGCCTGGGGCAACAGAGCAAGACTCCATCTCAAAGAATCAGGCCAGGCATGGTGGCTCATACCTATAATCCCAGCACTTTGGGAGACCAAGGTGGGTGGATCACCTGAGGTCAAGAGTTTGAGACCAGCCTAGCCAACATGGCAAAACCCTGTCTCTACTAAAAGTACAAAAATTGGCCAGGCACAGTGGCTTATGCCTGTAATCCCAGCACTTTGGGAGGCTGAGGTGGTCACAAGGTCAAGAGTTGGAGAGCATCCTGGCCAACAGGGTGAAACCCTGTCTCTACTAAAAATACAAAAAATTAGCTGATGTGGTGGCATGCAGCTATAATTCCAGCTACTTGGGAGGCTGTGGGAGGAGAATTGCTTGAACCCGGAAGGTGGAGGTTGCAGTAAGCTGAGATTGTGCCACTGCACTCCAGCCCATGTGACAGTGTGAGACTCCATCTCAAAAAAAAAAAAAAAGTACTTTGGTGACAACCCAAATTGGAAAAAAAAAGTACCAAAATTAGCCTGGTGTGGTGGCATATTCCTATAATCCAAGCTACTTGGGAGGCTGAGGCAAGAGAATTGCTTGAGCCCAGGAGGCAGAGGCTGCAGTGAGCTGAGATTGTGCCACTGCACTCCATCCTGGACGACAGAGCAAGAATCCATTTCAAGAAAAAAAAAAATCATAGAATCATCTGGCTTCTTTGTCTAGAGGCTTGGAGACCTCTGACTGGTCCCAGTCTACTCATAGGCCCTGTCCAGGCAAAACTTGGCCAAGCTGGCCTGGCCCAGAGAAAGGAGGGAGGCATACCCTCCTTTGTTGTTACCCCAACTCACTCAGGAGGGAGGTGGTGGTGGTAGGGACCAGAAAGTGGCATCCCATTGGCCTAGGAGCACTGAGTGAGGCAATGATGAAGGGAGCAGGTTTCTCTGGCCACCATAACTCACCCCACCCTGCCCACCTGTCTGACTCTTTAGGGAGAAATTCCCAGGTTTTGGGACACACACAGAAAGTCACATTTCATCCTGAGGCAGAAGGCCAGGGCCCTGGAGAGAAGGAGTGGAATTGAGTGTGCTTCGCAGGACGCTGTCTTGCTAAAAGATAAGCAGCCTCCCACCTTGGCAGAGGGCAGGCCTTGGGCAGCCCAGGCTTTGCTCAGAGGACACAGTTTTCTTTTCTTCCCCAGCCTGGTCCTGCCAGCAGGCTCAGGTTTCAGTCTGTATGCTGATGCAAGGAGCATACTGGCCCGGTTTGGCTGGTGGCATTTAAGGATGGACAATAATGGCCATGATGATGAAAATGATACTCGCTATTCACCAAGTTGTTTACTTCAGGCCAGCCACCGTTCTCTGTACTTTCCACTCATTATTTCATTTAATTTTCACAAGTAGGTACAGTTATCATCCCAATTTTCTTCATTTTTTTTTTTTGGTCTTTTTTCCCTTTTTTTCATTTTTTCTCTTTTTGAGATGGAGTTTCACTTGCCACCTAGGCTGGAGTACAGTGGTGTGATCTCGGCTCACTGCAGCCTCTGCCTCCTGGGTTCAAGTGATACTCTTGCCTCAGCCTTCCTAGTAGCTGGGATTACAGGCACCTGCCATGGCTAATATTTGTGGGTTTTGTTTGTTTGTTTGTTTGTTTTTTTGAGATGGAGCCTTGCCCTGTCTTCCAGGCTGACGTGCAGTGGTGGGATCTTGGCTCACTGCAACCTCTTCTTCCCAGATTCAAGTGATTGTCCTGCCTCAGCCTCCCAAGTAGCTGGGATTACAGGTGTGTGCCACCACACTCAGCTAATTTTTATATTTTTAGTAGAGATGGGTTTTTGCCATGCTGGCCAGCCAAGCTGGTCTCGAATTGCTGACCTCAGGTGATCCACCAGCCTCAGCCTCCCAAAGTGCTGGGATTACAAGCATGAGCCACCGTGTAGGGCTTTTTTCCACTTTTATGTTTTGTTTTTGATTTCCATTTTCAAGATAAGGGAAGTGAGGTGCCAAGGTAGGTGGAGTGGTTTGTTGGAGGTCACCCAGCAAGAGTGGCAAGGGTGGAATTAGAACCTACACTTCTAAGGGAGCAGAGTCTAGCCTCTTCCCTGACCCTGATGGGTGCCCTCCTGATGGGGTTCCCTGGGGAGTGGAGGGGCCTTGCTTTGCTTCTTCTTGACTGACTTGTACTTTATTTATTTATGCAACAGTGTCTCACTGTCACCCAGGCTGGAATGTAGTGGAGTGAGTACAGCTTACTGCAGCCTCAACCTCCCAGACTGAAAGTGATCCTCCCACCTCAGCCTCCATAGTAGCTGGGACACAGGTATGCACTACCACACCTGATGAATATTTTTTTTTTCTTTGTTTTTTTATTTTTCTTTGTTTTTTTATTTTTCTTTCTTTTTTTTTTGTTATTTTGTGTTTTTTTTTCTTTTTTTTTTATTAATATTTTTATTTTTTGTAGAGATGGGATCTTCCTCTATTGCTCAGGGCTAATGTTGGTTTCCTGGGCTCAAGTGATCCTCTTGCCTCCCCAAGTGTTGGGATTACAGGTGTGAGCCACCCTGCCCGGCCTGTACTCTTTCTTCACCTCCTCCTGGAAGCCTTCCTCAGTCTCTGGCTCTCAGGTTACCTGTGCATACTTGTCTGAAGCTGCTTTCCCACCTGTGTTCCCAGGGCAGAGAGTAGATGCCCATGGGTGGTTTGTCAAGGGAGTAAATTAGCCTTTTTCTGAGGAACTGAATCTACCAGAATATTCTTTATTCCCTTGCTGCAGGTCAGGGGCCCCTGCATCCCTTTACCCCTCCAAGTCTCCCCCTCCACCTCTTCAGAGCCAGTGAGCGTTTGCTGAATAAATGGAGGCATGAATGTCTGAACGAGTGATTTATGCCATGGAGAATTGGGGGTTTGTTCAAATATGTAGTGTCTATACTTTCAGAGGGATGGGCCAGGCCAGGAAGGTAAGTCTCGGTTTCTGAGCTGGGTCTCACCCAGGACCTTCCAGTGATGGCATGACAGGAAGTGGGAGCAGGTACCTGCTACGTCAGGACCTGTGTCTGCATCAAACAGGTATGAGCAGGTGAGGGCCATCCTGCCGCTGCCATGGAACCCAAGGGTGAGTGGTCAGCCCATACACAGGGATACAGAGACAGGGTGGGCCTCTCCCAGGCAGGAAAGAAGTGAAACCCCTGCCAATAGCCTTGTGTCTGGCAGGCCAGCGCTTTGTTATCCTGGATGGAGGCCTTCCTCTGCTCAATATGCTGTGTGGAGGGGAAGTGGCCCATGGAGGGGCTGAGCATCAGGCCTTCTGTGACCTGTCCAGAGGTTGGATGTCCTGGCAGCTTGTAGTTCACAAACTTGGTTGGGGAGCGCTCAGTGTTGCCTGTTTGGGGAGTGAGGGGCCTGAGGAGACCCCCTATCCCACTAATACCCCAGAACTGTTTGCCCCTTACTCCAGTCCAGTGGTGGCAGTGGAGGTGGCAAGGTCATCCCCTGCCACCCTTAACCCAAGTCATTCTTCTATAGCAGTTATAATCGTATCAAATGTGTGTGAGATGTCAGCTCTGGGAAGGCAAGCACTGTGATTTATTCTCCAGTGGACAAGGGCTGACACTGCTAAGTATCACTTGGATTCATAAATGGAAAAATCAGACACAAGTCAAAATCTTTACAACTTACTAGTTTTGTGAATCTAAGGTAATCTAAGTTAGACCCTATTTCTTTTTTGTTTCTTTGAGACGGAGTCTCGCTGTGTCCTCCAGGCTGGAGTGCAATGGCATGATCTTGGCTCACTGCAACCTCCACCCCCTGGGTTCAAGCAATTCTAGTGCTTCAGCTTCCCAGGTAGCTGGGATTATAGGCACCCGCCACCAGACCTGGCTAATTTTTGTATTTTTGGAGTAGGGACGGGTTTTCCCTATGTTGGCCAGGCTTATCTCGAACTCCTGACCTCGAGTGATCTGGCTGCCTTGGCCTCTCAAAGTGCTGGGATTACAGATGTGAGCCACCGCACGCAGCCTATTTCTTAAATTCAAAATGGACACAATCCCTCTGAGGATGAAATAAGATTCAACAGGATGGGGAACGGTGGCTCACATCTGTAATCCCAGCACTTTGAGAGGGAGGCTGAGGTGGGAGGATTGCTTGAGCCCAGGAGTTCAAGACCCTGTCCAATTGAAAAAAAAAAATGAAATAACTTCACAAATATTCTAAGCTCACTTCAGCCCAGGGGCCTTGGCAGTACAGTGTACACTGGTGGGAGATGGTATACAGAGATGTTTCCCTTCTAGATGGGCAGCATTAATGGGCACAGGTCCTGGGAAGGGCAAAATATGGCCTGGGACACTGAGATGGCTAAGCTCCCGAGGAAATCGGCCACTGGCAGAAGGGTGGCTTTCTCTGGGCTGGGCTGTCTTACTCTTAAAGCAGCTCTGAAATTGTCTAGCCAAAGAAAAGGGCTAAGAATCCAAACACCAGGCTTTTGGACGGATCCTCGCTTATGTGAGCTGTTCTCATCCTTGCCTACATCTAAGGTTCTAGTACTAAGGATTAAGTGCTAGATCTAAAGCAGGCTGGAAGCTGCCCCTCCTCTCCCCAGGAATAGGCAGTTCCTAAAGAGCCATGAAGAGGTACCCCGTTCTCCAGGCTCTGCTCCCAGCCCTGGCGTCACCACCAATTGGCTGAGGGAACTGGAGCAGTTCCTAACTTCGTGGAACAATTTCCAGTGTAGAAAAGCATCTGGGGTGGCAGGAGCACTGAAGTATCCTGTGTTGATGGGATGGATAGGTGGTCAAAGAGGGGCACCAGGACAATTATGTACATCCTGGGCTCAGTCACTGTAAGGGGGACCAGTCATTTCTTGGAGCCTATAAGGGCTATGCCAATCCCATTCTCTCCCCAAAGGGACCCAGAAACCAAGAAAGTCAAGAGCAGGCAGAAGGCTATTATATATCATGCTTTTAATACAAACTTAAAAAAATCTGGAACAATAGAAACTGTACAGATTTGATCTTTTTGTTTTGTTTTTAAACTAAAATTTCTAAACACACCAACATCCCATTCCAAAATATTGCACAACATTCTGAATACAAAACCCTTGATTGTATTCCTCCTTCACTAAAGAAAAGTTCATGACCCTGCTCCCCGGGCTCCTCTCCAGGCGTGCCTCAATGCCCCCTTCCCATCCCTAGGGAGAAAACTAGAGAATCTGTAACTCACTGCATTGAGAAAAAGACATCATTCTGGACTAACAGTTTCCATTCTTCACAAGATAATCCACCTTTTGATTTGTTCCTGGGAAAGAGGGATAGACAGAGGATGGGAAAGGGGAGAAAAGGTTTTATTCTCCTCTTTTTTTAAAAGTTTGTTTTTCCTGAAAAAATATGTTTCTCTCATCTTTTTAAGAAAAAATCTTGAAAAGAAAAAAATTATGTTTTTTACGTTAGAAATATACATATATTATATATACCTCTTACATTTTACAAATGTAGCAAATTATTCAATACAAACGGACACCAAAAAATGTAAAAAATAAAAAAAAAAAGTTTTCCTATGAAACCAGGTAAATTAGTGCAGATTTCTGTTTGTTTTCTTAAAAAAAATAAAATTGAAGCAAAAATGCCTAGATTTGAGACAAGACAGACTGAACTGGGCCCAAGAGCCCAGCACTGGAGTCATGCTCCTGAACACACATTTTTCTCCATATTTCAAAAGACACAAAGGGGTTGGCCTCCCCCATCTCCCTACATGTGAGCAACAAGCTGACCTGGTGCGGGTGGGCGCCTGTGTGTGTGGATGGGAGGAGGGCTAGAAGGGGACGTAAGGCAGCATCCAACCTTTCCCAGAGAGAAGCTATCTGCTGGGCCTGTCACCTGTGTGGGAGCCGAGGACAAGGGAAAGGGTGGCTGAGACTGGGCTGGCTCCTGAGAAGTCTAGGGGAACAGATGGTGCTGGGCTGAGAAGCCAGGGGATTGCCTGCCAGGGGAGGTAGAGCTGGTGCCTACTGCAGGGAGAGGAGGCTGGCAGTGCTGGCCTGGGCTGGACCCACTGCCATAGCAGTTGCCTACTTGGGGTCCCTGGGTAGGATGGAGTGAGTGTGGTGCCAGGGGCTTTGGTGATGAGACCCTGATGCCAAGTGCCCCACTTTGCAAAAAGAAAAAGTTCATGACCCTGCTCCCTTGGCTCCTGTCCATGCTTGCCTGGCCTCCTAGGGTGTGAGGAACAAGCCCTCTCGTGGCAGCGGCAGAAGAGCAAGCACTCTCCCATGATCCAGTGCATCACCCGGGAGTGCTGAGTCCCTGTCAGGACACCACTCCTCTCAGCATCAAGGTTGGGGTTGGGTCAGGGCTGTGAGAGGGGACGGCAAGAGGTACCGAGAAACTCTCAACCTGGCAGGGGCACAAATGCACTCAAATAACACCACCAAACAAGAGACCCAAAGTCTCAACTCCAGGCTCACGGCTGCCCCCTACACACACTAACACCAAAATCCCATTCTGCCTCCCTGCCTACCCGTAAGGGTGCTCAGGTGAGCAGCTCTCACTGAACTAAGGTCACACCAACAGGAGGGTTGAAGTCCAAGGACTTCTCATAGGCATCAAGGACTTGGGTGTTTCCTCTGCCCTTCAGAGCTAACCTTTTTTTTTTTTTTTTTTTTGGTCAAAAACAAAAGGGCAGATCCCTCCACAGTCTGCAAACCAGTTCCTTCTGCAGTGCTTTCTATGGGAGTGTCTTGGGCTCAGCCACAGTGGTGTCATCCCGCCACGCACACTGCCCTGCAAAAGGACTGCCAATACCCCCAGCCTATTCCCCAGCCTCACACATAAAGAAGCACTTGTTGCAACCCAGAATCACATGCAGAAGGGAAGCTTCACATGGCTTGGAATCCTTTAAAAAAGGACAGCAAACCAAATACACACATACACACACATCCCTCCCTACCCACAACCTCTGGCCTGGGGAAGAAGGGGCCACATGAGGGAAAGAAAGGCCACATGCATCGATAGCCAGGTGGCCAGGGCCATGGTGATGGTCTGGGCCTGGAGAGAATGGTGGGGTGGGGCCACAGGACAGAGATGAAAGGAGTTCCACTAGACAAATGCGAACCTCCCAGTGGTCACAGACATCAGCTCTAAGGGGAGGGTGTCAAGTGGCCAGTTGGTAGCTCCCTGTGGCCCAGCCTGAAAGGGAGCAGGGACTGGGGTCGGACCTATTCAGGTGGCAGGACCCGAGAAGGCCTGCTGAGGTTGGATGGCTTTGAGTGCGAGGATAGCTGGGTGACAGAGGCAGTGACATGAGCCAGCCTCTCCCTGTTTAAGGGGGGATTAGGCTTCAGCTGCAGCTCTTCCTTCCCTGTGAGCTTGGACACACCAATCCTAAACCAGGAGTGTGAAGGAGGAAGGGAGGAGCAGGGAGCAGCAATTCACATCTGGACCATTCTTAGCACAGGAAGCCACTCATTAAAGATGTTATATAGAAAACTACATGTTAAAAAAAGAAAAGAAATAAGAAATATAAAACCCAAACCAACCAAATAAATCACAGGCCGGTGGGCGAGCAGTGGGGGTGAGTGAAACACACTTCGGTGCTTTGTGGGGCCCTCCCATTCCATGCCTGGGCTGCATCTTTTTTCTAGAAGTGAGAAGATCGAAAATCTTTTTGTACATTTTTCTTTTCCTTTTTTTGGCCTTTCATTTCCTTTCTCTTTTCTGTGGTCTTGGGTGCTCCTGGCCCTAGGGGCAGGTAGATGGTCAGTTGGCCAGCACCACGGGCTGGAACGGCTGGCTGGGATACTGCATGGTGTTCAGGTTGTAGCTGAGGCCTTCCACGAAGGGTGTCTTCTCCAGGAAGAGGCTGTTGGCACCACCTCCAAATACCTGGGCCATGTCAAAGCTGCTGCTGTTGCAGGTGCCAGCCCCACTGCCTCCAAAAGGGCCTGGGGTGCCACTGCCCTGGCCATCGGCCCCATCAAAGAACAGGCTGGGTGAGCCACCACCATTGTACACAAACTCCTTAGCATTGGGTGAGAGCTGGGATTGAGGGGCTGGGTTGGCCGTGATGAAGTTCAGTGAATGCATAGACAGAGAGAGGCTCTTGTGCTTCAGCAGGCTGTTGGTGGGTGAGCGAGCCATGTGAGGCTGCTGTGGTGGCTGCTGGCCACCCACCCCACTGCTGGCTATACCCCCACCACTTCCTGCCCCGCCCCCCTTCTTCATCTTAGTGGAGCCAAATTTGGTGGCAGCAAAAGAGGCGGTGGTGAAGGTGATGGGCTGGGCGGAGCGGGGAATGAAGGTGGGGCTGGGTGACTGACCAAAGGATGGTGATGGGGAGTTGGACAGGGAGCTGTCCTGGCTGCCGATGGGCACGAACACCTGGGCATCAGGGTTGAAGCTGCTCTTGATCTCCTTGTCCAGCTCAGGGGCACCACAGCCCTCACTGTCATCCAGGTACAGCACTTTCACAGCTCCCTTCTCACCAATCTGGTAGGACACTTCAAAGGGATCAATCCAGACACTCAGCTCCTCAGGCACATTGGCCCGCACATCTTCTACTGCTAGGCCACTCCGCTTGGCAGCCAGCTCTACCACAGGGTCCACCATCTCCCCAATGTGAACACAGCGGAAGCCAGAGCCCTTCAGTGGCTTCTCAGGGTACCAGTGGCCTTCATATTTCTTTTTCAAAAGCCGCTCTAGCTCTTCCCCAAACAGGTCTGCCCGGCGCCGGGGCAGCTTGTTGTACAAGTAGGAGATGATGAAGTTCAGGGCCACTTTGATTTCTAGCTGCATGGTCCTTTCCTAGGCAGAGAATCAGCACAGGGCACGTGCACAGCCTTGGGCTCCAGACGGCTCTGGGAAATGAGAATAGGCACCGTGAGAAGATATGCAGAAAGCCGGTGGTAACCAACAGCTAAGGATAGACAGGAAAACACCAACTTTGGATCACACAGACCCAGAAGCTTATTTCTGCCCCACCAGTGACTGTGGGCCCTAGTTTCCTCATTAGTAACATGAGGCTATCATGAAGTTAAGTTAGTTCAAGATATAAACTGTCTCACAATGTACCTGGCAATTAAAAGGTAATTGATAAAGTTAGCTACTATTTTTAAGTAATTCTCAAGAAATAGGGAAGCTGTGTTTTCTACCATCTTGAGAATTCAGGTCACTGTATGAATGACACTAAAAAAATCAAGTCCCTTAATCAGGTGGAGAAGAGAAGGCTCTTGCTGTCTCCGTAATATCTTGGTAAAGTCGTGCTCCCAAACTGTCAGACTAAGATGTAAGTTTAAAATCTTTGGTTGTCCTCCTTAAATGAAAAGGGATACAGGTCACTGTACAGAAAGGAGCACTGCCAATTTTTCACTGGGGGCCTGGACTCCAGTCACATCCATCTGTCATCATGGGCCCCATGGGTGTGTATGCTGTCTGGCTCAGTCTGGGTTTGCTGAACTGATTTATGAACTCCACAGAATGGGCCGGGCGCTGTGGCTCATGCCTGTAATCCTAACACTCTGGGAGGCCGAGGCAGGTGAATTACCTGAGGTCAGGAGTTGAGGACCAGCCTGGCCAACATGGTGAAACCCTGTCTCTACTAAAAAATACAAAAACTGGCTGGGTACAGTGGCTCATGCTTGCAATCCCAGCACTTTGGGAGACCGAGGCGAGTGGGTCACCTGAGGTCAGGAGTTCAAGGCCAGCCTGGCAAACATGGTGAAACCCATCTCTACTAAAAATACAAAAAAAATTAGCTGGGTATGGTGGCAGACGCCTGTAATCCCAGCTACTCAGGAGGCTGAGGCAGGAGAATCACCTGAACCCTCCGGGAGG